TTAATTTTAAATTTACAAACTTATCCTTTAAGCTTGTAATGGAGAAGGATATAATAAAAAAATTAAGGTTAATTTTGTAATTACATTTAACTTAATGTAAACAGTCACTCAAATCCCTCCCAAACTCCCCAAATCGAGTGGATTGCAAATCTGCAAATTCGAGGGGAATTGGAGGGAGTCCGAATCAGTCCATCTCCCTCCCCATCTGCCTCTTTGAAAACCCAAACAAGAGGAAGAAGAGACCTCCCCCTCACTCCCCCTCCCTTAACATCTGTCCCCATCCCTTCCCCTCCCTCTCCGTCCGACACCTCCCATCCAAACAATACCTAAAAGATATGAGACACAAGTCACACAACAAACCCGACCCATTTCCTAACCAATCCAATCCATTGCGTAATTTGCGTTGCTGTCCCAACTCAACAACCAATAACGAAGAAAAGATAAAGGTGAGGGAGTGGTAAAGAAAGGGAAAAACATTTTACAAGCTGCTTTCACTTCATCATCCTCAAGGCTCGAGCTTCTCCTTTGCTACAATGGCGATTGGTTTTGCCCTAGCAGCTTCTCCCCCGTAAGATTTTCTACAGGAACATAAAGGTAAGTTTCTTTTAAAATTTCTATATTTCTAATTTAGTGTTAGAAAATTTTCAATCTCCAACCCTAAGCTTCAAAACAAAATCAGAAATGAAGGGATCAGATCCCCCTTGTCTGAGATCCAGACTCCGTTAATTGCTTACAGAGGTGGTGTTTAGTTATTTACTTACTTATTTTCTCTTCAGATCGCAATCTTCTTGTGCTTTTCCCTTCAACTTTTCTCAAAGCCCTTCATAACGAATAAGTAAAGAGATCTGGGAGATATGAAGATTTTGATGAACGGTAAGTGAACTCCTACCAAGATGATTGTTACTTGTGATGTTACCTAGAATTTTTTATCTGTAAGCAAGAACTCTATCTTAGGAGCTTTTAGTTTAGCTATTCTGAATATTTTTCAGCGATTATTGAACCCAATTGACCAATCGGGTAATCCCCTTATTTATTATTGTATTTTTTTTAGCATTTAGTTCTTCCTCCTCATTGAGATTTGGATTTGTTTTTCAAGGAATTACAGTGAAAATCAGTAAAACGGGTTGTTCCTAGAAAAATGATGAATTGCTTTGTGTCAAAAGAAAAAGAAAAAAAAAAAAATCTTCTCTACACCCTTGCACCACGTCAGATGAATCCCCAACCAGTAAAATGTTGACATACATTCACTTATGGGACCACAAATCGTCTTCTACTTCTCATTAATGTTTATTGTAAGCTGTTTGTTTCTTCTTTCTCGTGCTCTTGCCCAGTCGAAGAAACAACACAACCACAGAACAGAGATGGAGTGATACAACAAATTTGGAAAAGAAATGCCATATTTATGGGTGAAAAGATGATTCACTTGTCAGAGGTGAATCTACAAAAATTTGTTTGCTTTGAGTGTGATTAATCCATGGTACAAGATGCCACCATCAGTTCTTTCCTTTTTTGTCTCTCAAATTTTGATTTTTCTAGATAATTTTCTCTGCACCTTTTCATGGAAGACTTTGATTGATTATATTAGAAGCCACTTCCTTGCACTTCACTTGAAAAGGGCCCATGGGTATACAATATTTGGGAGGAGGGAGGTGACATGATTTTGGTGGAATGTGTCTGATTTGGAGGCATTGGTAAATTGGGGATATGAAACATGAGATTTTTCTCTTTCTGAATCTCAATTAGAAAAAAAAAAAAGGAGTTTTTCCCAGGAGGAAGATGTAAAAACAAACAGAGAGGAGGGAGATGACAAGATTTTGTTCAAATTAGGCATCAGTGAATTGGGAATGTGATGAAGCTGTAATTTACTTTTTTTTTGTATCTCAGAAAAAAAGGGGCTTAATTTAATTAACAGTTTAGTAACTTTTTTTTTTTTTTTTGTCTACTATCTTTAAATAATTTCAAATCCATCTACTATCATTTACTTTTATTTCAGTTTAGTCTAGTTTGTTAACTTTCTAACAATAGTTTCACTTGGTTTGGTCAAATTGATCTTCAACTATATCTTTTGTGAATTTTTACTCCTTGCAACTAATTTTGAGATAAAACTAAATTTGTGAAGATGATAAGTTCCTTTTCATGGAATGAGGGACCCTAGCAGAAACCACAATTATTTCTCTTTTGTAGCAGAAACCACAATTATTGACATGTTTTAATTGCTTTCATAGTTTGTTGTGAATTGCTTTGCTAACTGGAAGTGCTCGGTTTTAATTTTGATTTAACTTTTTTATTATTTTTCTGTTAAAACTAATGAAAATTTTGTACAACAGATTATTCTGAAATATTTTATAAAGTTTATAAATTATTTAGAAAGAAAACTAACTTTTTAGATTAAAATGAAATTAGGCTGATAGTTAATAGACTAATCATTGAATTAAGCCCAGAAAAAAAGGGTTTTTTTTTTTTTTCATGAAGAGGAAGAAGGAGAAACAGACAGAGCATTGACGATAAACGTTAGTTGGGAGTGGAAGATGTTTTGTGGTCCCATAAGTGAACAGTTGTCAACATTTTACTGGTTGGGGATATATCTGACATGATGCAACGGTTGTATAGAAGACTTTCTCATGTCAAAATGGTGAGATTGACCCTATATTCATGTCATAAAAAAATAAAAAAATAAACCAAACGCATAAAATACAGTGGTCTGGCGTAGAAAGGCTTAAATTAGCCTACTTTTTTCTTCTAGTAATAAGTGTGAATATTTTTTTTTCTGAAAATTTTAGGATTCAACTTTATTAATTGTAAATGTTTTGACAACTTGGTCTACAATCAAATATCAAACTTTTAATTTCTCATTTAAAAAAAAAAAGGACGCCTAATTTTTTTGCTTTTTCTATCTCCTCAGAGGGTTTCTTTTTATCTATTTTCCCCAAATGCAAATTCCTTTTTTCTTTAGATCATTTTGCAACATAAGCATGTTTAAAGGTTAACAGATATGCTACAAAACAAAGTTTGTCACCATTAATACCAGAGTTTGGATCGGAGAGAACCTTTGGCTCTGCTTTGCACTTCCCTGTGAATTATCCTGATTATGGTAGTATGATGATCGGTTGTAATCATGCACTAAGAATGGATTAATGTTTGATTTGTTATATCAAAAAGATTTACTGTGACCATTGATGTAGAGACAATCATGAAACATTTTCAAAATATGTGCACTCCTGAAAAGTTTTTTGTTTCCTTTTTCATGTTTGTTCTTATTTTTACCATGAAATGAATTGATAATATGCACCATGTGATTATTTGCTTGAAGTTTTTTTTCATTTGTATTCCACATTGTTATCTACTTTATTAATGCTCTATTATGATATATCAGGCGTAGCACATAAAGTTGCAACAAGCTCTATCCACAATTGAGTCCTGGTCCTGCCCCTGGAGGGGACCCTGAGGAATTTAGTCATTTGGTGGCATAATTTCAAAAAGGGGTCTGAATTCTGGAAGGATTGTCTGCTGCAATCGAATCATTTCACTTAGGGTTCATTCAGAATGAGTTCTTCTGATCAGACACAGATATCATCAGCTGATCTTGTTGGAGGCAATGAAGGCCTTATCTCAGAAATTCTATTTCGTTTGCCGCCAAAATCTGTTGGCAGATTCAAGTTGGTGTCAAAGAGATGGTCATCTCTCATTTCTGATCGCAGTTTCCTATGTGGTTATAATCAACGGAATTCCAGTACAATTTCAGGTCTTATTATTGGATATTTGGTACGTAAGCCATCGACACTGACATATACATGTGTTTCTCTTGGTGAGAATGAAGGATCATTGTCAGTACCCACAAAATGCATTCCATCTGACCCTCAAGCTCCAGGTTGTATCAAGGTTTTAAGTTCCTGCAATGGCTTGCTTTTGTGCTTTTCAAGACATAATGTGGATCCTGCTGCGTGCAAATTATATGTTTTCAATCCTACCACCCACCAATTCAGCACTCTTCCTTTACCCCCTGCCCAAGATAAATGCTGTCATCCCAGCTTCAGTTTAGTGTATGATCCATCCAAGTCACCTTCATATCTGGTTGTTTGTGTTCAGTTCTTGGAAAAATTTTGTAACATTCTCATATACTCATCGGAAGTTGGAGTTTGGGAGACATCTCGTAGTCAATCACCTGATCCAGTCTTTATGAGGTTTTACCGTGGGGTTTTCCTGAATGGAGCCATTCATTGGGTCGGTTATAATGGGTATCCCTGTCTTCTTGATCTTGATCGGAAATGCTTTAAAATGTTACCTAGGCCTCCACTTCCTGAGGATTGGGCAGCATGTTGTAGTTTCAAGTATTTTGGGGAATCTCAGGGCAGTTTGTATTTTATAGCTTTTGATAGGCCGAGATCATCAAAGTTCATTGTCTATGAGATGCAGAAAGATTGCTCTGGATGGTTTGCGAAGTACAGTTTAGAGGTAGATGCCATTTTAGCTGCCTTTCCAATTGATGATCATCCTGTCTTAATATCACCACACAAGTTGCATCTTCTTATTTCGATGCTGTCACTGGTGGAGGTTAAGAATGAAGGGCTAAATCTGGTGATGCAAATTCCAGGTAAGGTTGTGTCTTATTGCTTTAAGGATAATACTTTCAAGAAGCTTCTTGATTTACATTTTATGGTGCCGGTGTCATGGTTCAATGCTTTTAAGTATGTTGAGACTTTGTCTAGTATCTGATGATGATGTGTGCACCATAGCTTGTATTATGTTTGTAGACAACGGTTAATGGATGAAAACTATGTATTTGAAGGTTGTAGTAGCATGGATTTGACAGTTGTTTATCAGTATAATGCTTGGTGACGTCCATCACTATTAGCTGTTTTTCGAAGAGATTCAAGAAGGTTAAAATGCAACAAGTTACTTTGCTATATGTACCAATTAAAGTTTAGCAGAGTTGAAAGAGTAAGTTTGCTTTTAAGTAATTCCTTTCTAATTAATTTGAAAATTTATTAGAGGAAAAAATTTGGATTTAGCTTTTAAAAGGGTCTATAAGGGGCTTATATATATATATATGTTATGGGAGGCTTAGAAATAAGTTTTGATAAAACTATAAATGCTTAAATTATGGAAGGTATTTAGATATCTTGACTTAATATTTTCTTTTGAATGATCTGTTAATTATCACAATCTTAAATTATTATTTTTACATATTAAACCATTGTCATGTATACATAACAAATAATATGGAAACTAGTGTGACATGATGATGAATGCCTAAGTTGGTTTATCAAATGAATGGTAACACCAACAAAATAAAACCAAGAGAATAATTTAATTTGAGTTGCAGCATTTGTCCTTGGATTTCACCTTGGTTTCTTAAGAGCATCAAAGTTCCTTGCTTGAACTATTTCTCGAACTTCTATTTTTACTTTTAATCTAATTCTTAATAAACTAAATTTACATTATATTAAATAAAATATTAGCTTATGACTATTTTCCACAACCTGAAAATTTGATCACTAATAAAATTTGCTTTATACTTCGGAAAATTCGAACTACTTGAAAACTTGATCGCAAAATTATTTCTAGAGCTGTTCCAAACAACTCACAACTGTGCCGTAGCTGCGCACTTATTTACCGTCCGCAGCAACCGCACGTTGCACGGTTGCAGGCTGCGTGCGGTTCTTGCACGTATAGCATGCGCTAGTAACACTTGCGCGATGCGCGCACGCTGGCCACTTCCGTGAATTATTCTTCCGTTTCAGATTGGGATTCCAAATCCCAATCCAATTATAATATCAT